CAGGCGGGAGACGGGGCCCAGGCCGGGCTGGCTGGGCTTTGGGCTTTGGCCGGACCGTAAGGGCAAGGAGCAAAACCCACTTTCAGGGTATCTGCAAGTGCTGCTGCAGTTTTTTTAAAAAAAAAAGGATTTTGATTTTTTGTTTTCCTATCTGCCTTTTTTCTCATGTTCTGAGGCTCTGAATTTTCCATTTTTTTTCAGGCGGATAATCGCCCTTTGTGATGTTCAAGACCCATAGCCATGCCCTGGAATGAAGAGGAAAATCGTTTTTTCCCTCCTCATCTCACTAGAAGCTGAACTGCTGAAGGGGATAGAAGTCCGAGCCGGGTTTCCCACCTTTACTGGTCGAGGATCTGTGCTCCGCAGAGGTCCAAAGCCCATGCCCTGTGTATGTGCACAACCCTTACCCCGCTCCCTGGCAGCGTAGAAAAGTCACTACACTTTCACTGGCGCCTGGGAACGTGCTACTTGCTAATCACTTTGTAGCTGGCACTGCCTAACTGACATGTCCTTCTGGTGCAAACAAGCATTACAATGTAAAGGAAACATAACTTGTGGGTTTGGGATTTTTGGGCTTTTTTTTTTTTTCCCCTAATCCATACAGGGTCAACGTGCTTTCATGTTGATGGCAACCTACTGGAGGCTTCCCATCTCGGACACAGCACGTTATTGGTAAGTAGGTACAAAAGGGTTACACATAACCCGCGCACAGGCTGTAATCCAGGTAAGATTCTGGCTCCCTCCCCTCCTTTTTGTGTGAAATTACAGCGTGGCTTCACGAACCCGAGATCACCAAGCTGGCCAGGCTCGTGCAGTAAAGGGACTCCCTCAAGCCAGGGGCAGCGGCTAAGCCTGGTCATAGTATCTAAATTTTTTAAGCAAGAGTGATACCTTCCTCCCCCTCACGCCGGCTCTGAGAGCTATAGTAGGGAACAACCCCCCCCCCCCAATTACTGTTGTTCTGTTAGAGAGATGAGACTGAGACTAGTACAACACTGGAAATACGTATTGCTGCCGTGACGGGTAGAAGCGGTGTGGATGTGGCTTTTGTACACAGGAAACTGAACTAGACCACACCTGTGGCACCAAGTTCATCATCTGGTTCCTGACAGAGACCCGCACCAGAAGCTTTGGAGAAAGGGGCAAAAAGAAAAAAGCCATTATAAAATTGCACCTGGGTGTACTGAAATCTCTAGCTGGGTGCCCTTCAACAGCAAGGTGCTGTCTGAGGCTAACAGTTACTCTCATTAGGTAGGAGAAATAGTACTCACACTTACTGTTGGTTCAACTTTCATTTTGGCCTCTCCGTCACTCAGATCCAGAGGCCTGGGGAACGTGTAGTGACCTGCACGCTTCTGCAGTGGCTGGAATTGGTCACTAGAGGGTACAGGTGCATATGGATGTAAGGCACTGTTCTGAATAGCTGGAAATGATAATATTTGTCTTGGATGTAAGAAATGGCTCAGCTGCTTAAAACTGTTATAAAATGAAAACAAGGCATGGACAAGGAGTTTGATAATTCCACCAAAATGTTTAATACCATAATAGATTTTCACTGAAGTACAGAGCTAATGTGAATATTTGTACAAAATATGTGGTTAAAAATAGTATTGATTTATAATATATACAGATATGTCACATCTGTGTCAGAAATGCAGACACTTGAATGAGAACATGAGTAATGTTTTTAAATCTACAACAACATACATGAAATATTTCTGCAGCTACCCACAGTAGGACAACTTGCCAAATCGACACTTAAGGATCCATCAGTCATTACAGATGACATTCTTTTCAGAAGTTTCTGAATGAGAACTGTGCTCTAAAATGGATTCAAAACATTTACTTTCATTAACTGAATAGTGAAGAGAACGCATCTGTGCGACACTAATGCAGACACAACTTTCTCGTACTAGATTAATGACCAATTACGATAATTTGTTAAAACAAGGCTGATTTTCTGGTGTATAACAACAGAGAAGTTTAATCCTTCTTGCTGGATACGCTTACTGAAGCGGGTGAGGAAGCCCCTGATTCAGGGACAGCAAACGGGCGCTTCTTAATACAGCTCTCACTTACATGGATTTAAATCCTGGAGCGTGTCTTAAGGTCCTGAATATCTTCATTTTTCATTAACTTTGAGGCTGCTCACACTTCACAGCTTTCCCAGCCTTACTCCAGCAAGAATCTCACAAAGAAATGCCCCAGATTCTAGGCTTTGTAGCTACGGCATCGGTACACAATCCTGTATTAAAAGAATCCACGGATGACTCTTACTGTAGCCCCAGAAGCTCAGTGTAGCGACTGAACAAATTGACAAAAGGGGAGAGACGAATTAAGGCGCTTTTTTTAACGCTTTTTGAGCATCTCCAAGTGGAGGCACTCGGGGTTCTTGCCCTTCCACCGGGAGTGCCGCTGCTGTTCTGCCTCTAGCAGCGCAGGCTCCCCTCCCCTCCGAGCCAAAGCAAACATACTCGACACTTCAAATAGGCGTGTGGGAAAGAGCTTTTACAACACTTCCTCCCTTGTGATTTTACCCCCGAATGCCGCAGTCTACGTGTATTTAAAAAAAGAGCACAGCTCACGTTAGGAAAAAACATCTCCTTTTAAGAGGAGCCTAGAACATTTGAAAGCTGCTGTACTCCCCCCAGAAGATGTGCTAAAACAGGAAAAGCAGCGTTTGGTTTTTTGGGTGGTTTTTTTTGCTAGCATAACTAGCATTGCATGAGGATGAGTATAAATGAGGGTCTGTCTGGGACTTTAATCCATACCTGGTTTTGCTTTTTGGTAAAACAGAACTAAATACAACTTCTTAGGCAGAGGGGAATCAAGGAAATGCAAAGGTCTTAAATTCATACTAGTACGTGAGAGAAAGTCTTAAGTGGCTAAATGTTTAGCGGTAAAATAGTTACCACTAAAGAAGGAACAAAAATAAATTTAGTAAAGGATACGATCTGAAAGCACTGTAACTTTAATCAGGATATCGACAATAACCTACTTAAATCCCCTCTTCCATAGAAAGCTTGTTCCAGCTCCCCAGCTCCGTGACAGGTATTGCCTTCACTTCAAGCAAACCGTTCCAGTAAGCCTCTCTGTAACACCACCAAACTGACTACAGATTTCATCATCGGGCAGTAAAATACTGAAGGACCCAACCCCTGTGAGCTGCTGAATCCATTTTAAGACGTTGGGCCCATCATCAGGGAGTGAGTTGGTAACTACAGACCCAATCGCAGAGCCAGAGTCCGCTCTGCACTTGCCAGCACGTCCTGAAATCACCACCCCTCTTGCTTTGGTTGTAACTCTTCAGGGCAAAAAAACCGAGGCTGCACAAGGAACGGCAACAGCCAGACTATCAGTAATGAAGTACAGAGAGCTTCAGCTGTAACCAAGGCGTGAGCCACGGAAGCCTCAGGCCCCTGCTGCAGCTGGGAGGAATATTTTTAACTCCCATTATTCAGTATCATGCAGGGTTAGGTTGCACATCATCACTTGCATGCACGCATGCCCAGTATAAAGAAATGTTGCCTATTTGTGTGTGCAAATTAAGTGCATGCTGAAGTTACACGCATACAGCCAGCCACGTCCTCAACCAAAGACCAGTTTGAGATCCTCTGGGACATACAGCTCCCCACCACCCGCAGCTGAAGCCTTGAAGCTTATTTCCAGGCGCTGTGTCCAGTGCCAAGCACGACGGAAGAGCCACATGTAGGCACGTGGGTAATGCAACATCTCGATCGGATCAGATAAAGAACCTTACTGTAGTTGGGGAAAGCTCATTTGTTGCTCAACGGTGAAAAATAAATCAGGCCTCCTGTAGTGCATTTTACCTCTGAAGTACTCCATATGAAGACGACTATTACTTTTTCTAATCAAAGCACAGAGGTTAAGGCCTGTCAGTGAGCTCAGAGCTTACACTTCCAACGAGACCTCTTAAGCGGATCTAGTTTTCAGAATCGTGAACAATCAGCCTTTGAGAAACTGAGTCTTTTATGCCAGGCACCCAGAAAAAAAAAAAAAAAAGCCCTTTTTCCAAATGCAGATCCGAGTGATCAAATACAAGAGTTTCAAAGACAGCTAATCAGCAAACTCATCTCCTGGTTTCCAGTCCTTTGCCAGATCCAGCACAAATTGACGCGAGAGACTACAAACGATTGGTTTCAATTTTTGTAATAATTAACATTAATAGAACTTTCTCTCCAGCCTGGATGGTGGCCGGATGCCACGTTCCTTATTCAAGCACTCATGCCCACTGTATTTACCCACTGTTATAAAAGCACGGCGAGAACCACACCAGCTGTCAGGGATATGCTTTTGCTCACCAGGGATTGCGCTGGATTCTTTCCTTGCGTATGCCTAGCCAAATCCACAGCAAGTTCACGTGATGCTGTGAAACGGCAGCAGTTGAAAATGGAACATGGCATACCCTGCCAACAAGAGGGCTATTTCCCCCCCCTACTTTCTACTGAAACAGAGTTTGGCCTATGTCACACATTTAAGCATTTTCAGTTCTACCAGTTAAGAGAGCAGTGGTATGTACCACACTAGTCAGTTTATTAACGTAGTTTAACTCTTTAAATGTTGCTTTTCAAAATGCCAGCGCAAGCAGAACACAAAAATATTGTTCGCCATATTTATTTTTTAAACTAAGCTCTGAATTATACAAGTGTAAAAGTGATTAATTAGCCAATAGCTTTTTAATACTCCTATAAAATATGACTAAATAGAATATTTCAAAAGTATGTACAATATAATGGAAATGCTAACATCATCCGTCACAGTGCTCAGACGTACCACTGTAATCAAGCCTTGCAAGACGGTTCAGTCCGTTACTCTGTACAAAGAATAGTCTGTGTTTTTGCAGAAAGCTTTTTCGCTGTTGCGGAATGGGTGGGAGGGGGAAAAACGCCAAAATAAAAACAACCCACCTCTCCTACCCAAATTAGGATCAAATAAACGTTAAACAATTTATCCGTGGGGCACACTTTTATAATATAAAGCACTTCACAATAACTATGTCTGTAGTCTTGTTATGGTTGAGGAAGGGATGCTCTTGCCATGTTTTCTTGCTGAAAACAAAGCGTACTTGAGCGTGTATGTACCTGTTAGGAAGGGGGGAGTTTGTACTACCTTGTCCTAATTACAAAAGTCAAGGCCACAGAAATTCTTTGTTCTTTTGTTCCAAAATACACTTTCTCCATGTGTTGTAAATGTTTTCTCGCTTTTAACTGTACTTAGGAAGTCGTTGAAATTTCCATTTGGTATCTGCAGGGGTCAGAAAGGACAAGCAGGCAGCGGGCAACAGAAGCTGCACACCCCTGATTTCCTTCCCTTTCCAGCCAGCAGCAGGAGCAATGTCCGGCCCACAGAGCGCCCCAGGACATCGCTGCCAGCCGCTCCCACCGGCTCCTGCTTTGGAAGGGAAATCAAAAGGACACGTCTGTGTCCCTGTGCATCAGAAGCTGGAATGCAACACAGAGGTTTCACTCTTGTTTATAGTATTACGACATGAGAGAATCTACTTTGGCACTGTGGCCACCCTGTGAAAAGTGCGAGTCAGAGGGACTGAGCTCACAAGGGAAACTCCCACGGGAGTAAGTAGGGGCTCTGTCTGTGAATTACTGAATTAAATAGGACAGTTACTCCTCCAGATGGTCAGCATTTTTTGAAAGAAGCCTTTCTTCCGTGCCAGGCAAGAACCAGCCTTTAGCAAAATACCAGGTTCTCTTAAGAGTCACAAATGCTGTTACTTTTACGATAGGGACATTATTCCGTAATACCCGAAACATTTTTCTACCATGACCGTTATTTTATCATGCAAAGGTGATACATAAGCTTTGACCATAGTTAAAATGGGCTGCTTTGAGTTTTCAGGTTTGTAGTCGTGCTTCTATTTCTGTGCTTTAACCAATGAGCTATGTTCACTCCCTCCTGGGTAGTACCACATAGTTTTATAAAGACAAAGAGTAGTCAGTGAATGGGGCCTGGGTTTAAATCTGTCTGAAAATGCATTTTGAGGAAAGAACATTTAAGATCCAATGCTTGAATTTGCAGTATAGTTTTACATCATTTGAGGCCAAACTCTGCATTTCCAAAGTTTGGGTACATGGATATAAGGACTAGATTCGGCCTCCAACACTTTTGCATGTAAAAAAATCCAGAGTATCAACTTCGATTGGAGATGATCTCTGATCGCTTACATCAGTTGAGGATGTGGCCAGTAATTTCTTCCATACAGCATATATCAACAAAAAATCTTACGCGTTTAAATCTTACTCTCCCTGTTTATACTGGTCTAAACCCATGGACCTTAGCGTTCTGTATGTTCCCAAAAAAGACAGTGGCGTTACTCCTGAAATATCGTAGGTGGCCTATGACGGAACATCAGGTTATAGTTCTAGGGCAGTGAGTGACAATTTATTTATTTAAACCAATTCTAAATGCATCACTGAAAAAATAATTGACGTGAAACCTCTAAGGAGTTAAGACAACTTTACACAGATACCATGAGGATACTATAGCCCCATTTTTTGTTCAGTCTCTGCTGTATTTAATGTGCTTCTATTAGTGTAACACGCACACGACGATGCCCATAATGCAGTAACAAGTATCACATTATAGATATATGCTAAGTAAAGCACTACATCTCAACAAGAGTATTAGGGGGCTGTGGTGGTCAGAGAATGAACTACATGAGAATGTTAAGTCCTCATTCTCAGAACGTCCTCACCATACATACGGAGAGTGGCATCTCCTGTCTTCACCGACAAAGCAACAGGCTTTTCTTCCTGGAAGTACTGCAGAGCCAAGACCCCAGCAAGGGGGACTTGACTCTGCTGAAGCTTGTAGCCTCACTGCTGATTAAGGGTGGAATGGAACCCTCCCTCAGAAACCAGACCATTAGGTTTTATGACAAAAATCTTGATTACAGAACCGAAGCTGACTGTCCAGATCTTAGAATGAGCTTCCAAGATCTATTTACTTATCTTCACTTGTAAAGGATTTTAAACCGTGGAATCTCACTGCGCCATTTTATAGTCACTTTTGGGAGTACAGCTGCAGCTTATTAGCTTAAAAATCCCACCGTATCTTACACGTGCTCAGTTTTCTGCAGTATTAATTTCAGAGGAACTACTCATGTGCATAAATTAAGCGCATGCTTAAATATATGCAAAATCTGAGCTCAAACGTCTAGAAAATATGTTCTCAAAATGACAAATACGCATAAAAAAAAGAAATCATCATGGAAGGTCTGCCGGACAGGGAATCCGGTATCTGTCTGCTGTCAGCCATGATGAAAACACAGAACAATTGTTGTAACCCAGTATACATTGCAAGTGAAAGAAACATGCAGGACAGAGTGAGAAAAGGGGTTTCAACTGCATGCAGTCTAGTTTCAAGTGTGTAATTATGGTCCTGTTTTCTTTGGCCTAAAAAAAGAGAAAAAAACCCAACAAAGAACACCAGCTAGCCTCTCCTCACCTCCACAAACCCAAACTGCATACAGCTCAAAAAGGGCTTTAAAGCACAGGAAGTGGGGAGGGAAAAGGTCTGGCTATTAGAGATGTACGAGTAATTACTAACAGTTTCAGGGCTATTCAACACACCACTAGGAAAGCATTCAGCCTGTATCATTACTAGAACTTACAGCTATGACAGAGAGCAATGAATCCCATCTTAAATGCGCCGTCAGTTAGCTTCGCTTTCTTCCTCAAACTCAGAAGTACCACTCGTACCTTTATGGAAGGTAAAACGACAATCCCTATTGATATTCTGGCTCCCTCCTCCTCAGCGAGAAGGACTGAAAGACACCAGACCCTCCAGCAAGCTGCTGCCTCTCCCCTCAGCCCAGAGAGCTCTGTCTTGCATCCCTGCCACCATTAGGACCAGCGTACTCTACAGCTGTTGGTGGAAGAGGGTGTTTTTCTGCTGTTTCTATAAACGTTGCAAAGATAGCATTCCCTACAGAAAATTCCAGGGGGATGAAAAGGCCACCAAGCTGCTAGTATATTAAAAACAACACACATACCCACCCTTAAAAAAAAAAAAAAAAAGGAAAAAGGGAAAAGGCTAAGGTCTGCTGGGGAACTGAGGAGGTCAGAGGAGCAGGCTGCTTGATGAAGGGCAGCAGCAAGTATTCTGGGAGTTTGAACATCAAGCCTGGTATCGGCCTGATTTCCCACCCTGAACGATCTCTCTGGTAGTGGTGTTTCAGCATGCAAATTATAGCTGTGAAAAAATCCTCAGACTGAAACCCTTCCTTGTTTCTTGAGCCTTGTTTTGTCCTTTCCAGAAAAATCTATTAGTTGGTGTGTGATATGGCTACATATACAAAGATCTTTTTCCTAGCCCTTTTATTACATAGGCTTGATTACTGTGAAGGGATTTCAATGAGTTTAATGTCCTGGTACTCAAAAGGCAATGGCTGCCTTTCAACAAAACAAAGCAAACAAAAACCAAAAGCTGTGCTGGAGGAGAGAAGTGCTGCTTCTGCCGGAGAGGCTCAGTTAGATACAGGAGGTGGCAGACCAGGGCGTCGAGTTTGAATGATTTTTGGCTTTGGAGAATTCTTTGGGTCCTCATCTTCTTCCATGTCGCTGTCGCAGACATGCACTACCACACTGGGAGTGGACTCCGTTCCTGCGTGCAGCTCATATTTCTCTCCTGGAAGCAGAGAAAAATAGTTAGATCAAAAGACGACAGTCTGAGTAGCAGCGCAGACCATGGCACTCTTGGACTGCAGAATGCTCCTGCACCTGGATAGGGCAGATGAGCGTGTGCTGCTCCTAAATACAGGTGAGGGCAAGCACGGCTAGACTGTATCAGCTGTCACAACAGATTCTGGGGATCCTGCCCCGGGGGGCAGTGATCCTTGGTCTGTAAGGCATAATAAAATATCCTGGCGTCTATAATGGTGTTTTGCACCAATATTCCTGGCCAACAGCACTGGAAAAAAAAAAGTACGAAGAGGAGAGAGAGCACAGAAGTTCATGGTTAAGAAGAGGGACTGGAATCCAACCTATCAAACGTTTGGTCTGAAGTCGTGCCACACCTCTTGGGCTGGGGCTATTATTTTGTTGTTGTTGTTTTCTTTCGGTCTAGCATGGCTCCAGTCCCATTTAAAGTCCACTAGATTCTGCCTCCAGACAGACATCAACGCTTGGTCCAATTGCTCCAGAAAAAAAAAAAAACAACATATATCTGCTCCAGACGTATTTTGAGATTCAAAGCTCTTTAGCTGGGGCTATAACAAATTCTGTCTCTACAGATGAGATTACAGAGGACAGTCTATAAATGCTCACTATCAGGCTAAACGCTTGAACAGTACAGTACATTAGGTTTTCTAACTATGTGCATTCCTTATTTAAGTCCTGCATTCAGTCTGTTGACACTACATGTGCTTTGGATTGTACACAGGATGTAAGTAGGTATTGGTTATTAAATGGCAAGGAATTAATTTAAGACTGTAAAGAAAAAAAAGTCCCAACGGTGACATTTCTGAGAGGATGACTTCGTCTTTCAGAAGTGATAAACACCCATCAGCAGCACTAAAAACTAGAAACCGTTCCAGGTAATGCGCTGCCCCCCTTTGGACTATTTGTCATCACTCTCATCTCCAAGATCCACAAGCCGCAGTTAAATTTAAATAGGCTTACAGTGACCACACGCATACCTGGTAGCTTGGATTTTTTTTTGTAAGCCTACTCCAAAACCACTGCATATTGCCTGCAGAATATTCTGAGATGACGAAGGTGAGGTCCCAATATATCTAGCTGACCTGTATTTGTGGTGCAGCAGCTCCTAAATGCCTGCATCACAGGCAGAACCTGGCAGTGCTAGGTGTTGTATGATGACAGTGAAATGGCAGTCCCTACCTCAAAGCACTTATAGTTTGCTGGTGTTACTAATTTGGGTTTTTATTTATTTGCAACTTTGTGGCAGAGTAATTCATGTGAGGAAGGGGTTGCAGGTTTGGCCCTGCATTAGCACACGCAGTTCTGGGACTATGCTCACGTGCTATTTGTGCTGACAAATTCTTGGTCCAAATAAGACTGGATGGCTTGCAACGAGAGGACATGCTGCATTTTTGCCTAAAAAATAGGAGGCGACTAGTGAATAATAGCTATAAGTCAGGCATCTTGCTGTGAGAAATATTTTACTGCTGTGATACCATTAATGTTGACATTTAACTGCTCTATTTTTGGCAACCTTTCCTCCGAATCCAAACTGAGTAAAGCATTACAGGTCTTGCTGATAGGCTAAAATATAAAAGGAGCAATAGGTTGGTTGTGCTGCACTGAGAAATTATATGGTTTTTCTTTGCCTATTTTCCCTGCGGGCTCCAGCTAATTTCTCAGCTATGGGCTGACGTCAATGCTGCCAACTAGCACTGAAGGCTACATTGGTCACTGTCAGCGACAAGCAGCTCTGCAGTGCTGTGCACACACAACGCTGGGCCCTTTCCCCGTACACCAGCACCATGAAGTGAATCAGATTCACTGCCCTCTTAAAAGGTAATAATCCCAGTTCAAATGCCACATTCTTTTACTGTTCAAATCCTTCCCAGAAGGACACTTTCAGCTGAAAAAGAACAGTGGAAATAAGTACAGACACAAGGAAAAATATTCCGATGCCTCTGGCACAAGTAACTGCAACGGCAATTAATGTCGCTTTGCAAATCAAAATGTGATGCACTCATAAATTAGGTTTTTAAGGCATACAGTTATTTCTGAGCGTGAGTGAGCTGCAGACTCAGTTCTGTACTCATGATTATTCATGCCTGCAGAACTGTGGCTCAAACTGCATAAAACCTTTTTATGGCTGAGCTAGGAACAGGACAACAGTAACTATGGGACTTTTATACAGCTGTATCTTGTTCCTAAATGTAACCGCTGTTTGCAGAAAAATACTAAGGTAATAAGTACAAAATAAAAATCCAATAGATACAGCCAGATTACCCCTTCCCTTCTGCTTTTTTCTACATTTTTTTTTATTTCCTCTTAAACAACACCTCCAGCATTAAAAAAAAAAAAGGAAAGAGCTAAATCCGCAGCAGTTAAGCTAGCGGAGTAATGGTTGAATCACTGCAATCGAGTTATGTTTACAAGACACAGGTTGTCCCAAGCTAAGAGCAGCAAGTCGAGTTAGTATAGTTAAGACTCACCAACTTCTGTAGTTAATATCACTCAAGCATTTGTCATCTCATTCAGCTGCCTCTGATGCTGCCTCCTTTGCGTCCTCAGGCCCTACGTGGCCCCACCACTCCCGCTTGCCTGGAGAACTCTTACAGGCTACGCCAAAGGACTCTTGGGGAGAGGTGTCTTTCTCCTCCAGCAGTCTTTGGGCTATTTCTATCCCTTAATAATAAGTTTTTTAAATATTCATGTAAGCTGAGATAACAATGGAAACACATAATTACTTAGAAAAATATCACAAAATTTATCAAATATGCTCAAACATCTAAACTCTGCCTTCAGAAGATAATGCAGGGAAGAATTAAGCTGTGGCACCTCCACCATACAGATTTGTCAGAAAATGTTCCTAACAAACCCCTGATAGCAGCGATGTTCCTCTATTCATTTGCTTCACATGAGGAAAAAACACAGGAATTTGAAGTTTCACCATTCAACAATGGGCCTAGCTGCTTTTATGTCACTTGGCACTACCTTTTGTGACCACATGAACCACAAGCAAACCCACAGCCTCAGGTGACCCAAGAAAGATGACCACAAGGACAGCACAAAAGCAACTTTTGATATTGTTGTCATTTAACCCCGGTCGGCAACTGAGCACCACCCAGCCGCTCGCTCACTCACTCCCCCCCGGTGGGATGGGGGAGAGAATCGGAAGGGTAAAAGAAAGAAAACTCGTGGGTTGAGGTAAGAACAGTTTAATACTTGAAATGATAATGATGATGATAATGATAATAATAATAGTAATAATAGGAGAGAGAGCGCGCATGAGTGTGTGCACACACCAGGGAAAGGGAAAAAAAAAAAAAAAGTGATGCAACTGCTCACCACTCGCCAACCGATGCCCAGCCAGTCCCCGAGCAGCGACTGCTGCCCCCTGGCCAACTCCACCCAGTTTATGTACTGAGCATGACGTCCCATGGTATGGAATATCCCTTTGGCCAGTTTGGGTCAGCTGTCCTGGCTCTGCCCCCTCCCAGCTGCTTCTGCACCTCCTCACTGGCAGAGCATGGGAAGCTGAAAAGTCCTTGACTAGCGTAAGCACTGCTTAGCAACTAAAACATCGGTGTGTTATCACATTATTCTCATGCTAAATCCAAAACACAGCACTGTACCAGCCACTAGGAAGAAAATTAGCTCTATCCCAGCCGAAACCAGGACAGATATTTCAGAGTTAAAAATAATGGCATGTGATTTTCTATCCCTTTGTGAATCAGTACTATGACCTTTCATTGATGGTGCATCTCTTGTCTAATGAGGCTTTTTTGTCCAGCAAAGAGTATGTTCATACACTTAATTAATAATGAAGAAATGGTAATGATACTGTGCAGCTACCGCATCCCTGATTCTGACTCATGATCAAGGGTTAATGGGTTCAGAGCTGTCCATTCCATGTTAACCATGTCATTAGCAGCATAAAAATACCTTCCACTTATAGTCCCTTCATCCAAGTGCTTTACAAATAATATGGTGCAAATAATGGGTGGTCCTTCGTACAAGTGCATGTTCATGTTCGAAGAGATACAACAACCCATCCCATATGATACCTCTACTGCACGGATCTGCCATATGCAAGATGGAGGAGTTGCTCTCTGGAAGCCCATTACTGGTGTTGCAGGCACTGTCCTCTCCTGGCCAGCAGAACAAGGCAGACGGAAAGCTTTCTACACCCAGCAGCTCTGCATACCCTGCCCCTGGCAAGGGGAGGAAGGGCAGAAGCAGCCACAGAACAGAGGAGAGAAGAAGGACAGAGATGGAAAATTTTATTTATCACCCATCTGGCTGCCCCTCCAGCCCCTTCTAATCCTCTCTGGAAGTCATATGAAGTATTTAGTTTTTCCTTTGAATCCGTGAGAGCAAACATGAGAGTTTGAAAACACCTGGGCGTAGAAAACTTGCAGTGCTAGACATGGTTTGAAATCCCTGTGTGCTGGGCAGGGTCCTGCTCTTCCCCATTTTCCCCTTCCCTTTGCAAGGGTGAGCCAAACCCAGGGCAGAGCAGGGGCAGGAGCTACGCATTCTCCCCAAGACGGCCAGCTAGAGCACGGCAGGAACAGCTACATCTTAATTGCTCAGAGACAAAAATGAAACCCCGACCCAACCCCTCCTCTGACCACTAATCGTTCCCAGACCCAGCAGCCAAGCGGCACAGACTGCTGCAGGGTCTCCTTTGTGTCCCAAGAGGTACCAACTGTGGACCTAAGAGCCATCATGTGGAACATTTCAGGATGGCCCTTTCATAACATGAAAAATGTATTTTACAAGATCTGGAGTGTAGCCTGAGGGCACTCAGGAGGTGCAAAGCCTGCTGGAATGCTGCTGAAGGACTGGGAAATGTGGAGAGAACTGAAACTGGTACAAACTTGTCCATATGGGCTACTGGAGATGGTGCCCAGCCTGTGCTGGTTTTCAAATAGTGCCTGAAATTGTGGAGGCGAGTGCTGATAGAAGGCAAAATCGCACTGGGAAGCACATGGAGCACTTAAGTGCTGAGGACCCTGACCTATATTGTGTGTTGTTGTATAGTGCAGATCTCATCAGTGGAGCCAGGATCCGTGAATCAAAGCCATGGCAGAAAGGCAATTTGTCTGGGCAGCTGCTGTATGGGCAGCAGGCAGGGGTTGAGATTGGCAAGGGGAGGCCAGGGTGGCCCCTGGGATCCTGGGGAAAGGCACTCTGAAGAGTGCAGACTTAGAAAGTGAGGGAGTACGGGGCAGTCTGTTGAGAAGAAATTGGGATAACAGGTTTGAAAGAGGCAATGGGGGAAGGAGGGAAGAAATACACAGGTTGGGGGGTAGATAGGGAGGGGGTAGGACTGCTTTCCAGAAAACAAGGACTTACTCTAGGGCCAGGAAGATGGTGATGGTTTGTAAACTGCTGCACTAATAATTGGCAGAGCAAACATAGCTGCCTTTTCTTTGAGAGGAGCAGCTCTGCTGTATATACATAGCCTAGACCTGGAGATTCCCCCCCCCTCCCCCTTACAAACATTTCTCATATAAAATTATTTCCTGTATTCCTCAGTGGGATGAAACTAAGACCTTATAAAATGTTATGCAAAAGACATGAGGGCCTAGACTAGACAACAGCTTGGTACGTTGCAAGCGTTCCTGTAGGAAAGTCAGGTCCAAGTCAGGCCAGGCAGAGACACAACCTGGGCCTGACAGGGAAACAGCCAAACTACCACCCTAGGTCAATGCAATGCCTTTATCTCTTCATCAGTATTTTAAACTACTGGAAGTTTTCTTGACAGTGGAAGTGTTTTTCATCAAAGAGATTAATGATCACACTTCTTTATTTGCAATACATTGAAAAAATTGTAGGCTGGTGGTCAGAACCAGGCAGTCACAGTTGCTGGCTCTGACTGGTCTACGGCATTGTGTTCATGCCTCGTTTAAAGCTCAATTTCTGCATCTGCAGAAAGTAAGAATAGACATCAGTCAACCAGAAACTTAATTAAACATGCCATGGTCTTCCCTAAGAAGTAAATGCACCCTTACCAATCTCAATTTCATGTCAAAGGACCAAAAGCCAGCTTCCTTTTGTGCACAGCAAAAAGGAATCTTTTCCGTTAGACTTCTGAGATGCCAGACAGTCATTGCTGCAGCCACAAGGCTGCAAAAAAAAAAGATACCTGTCCCCAAACTGAGCTTGGAAAGAGACAACACACAGCATATCCGTTAACTAGCTTCCAGCCTATTCATTTTACTCTGGAGCAAATCTCCCAGCCTTTGCACCTAGGAACAGTTTTAGTCTCTAATTTTGTGGCTATGACGATTATGGCAGCGTACTGCAAAGGAGATGACCTGTATTCATGGCATGGCAAAGTAGCATGGGTCTGTGTCCAAGTGGTGTATCTTACATTCCCAGTGAAGTAGGTCAGTAAAAGTCATCTTGTACTGAGGTCGTACAAAGAAACTGTTCACTATTTACATGCTCAAATGAGTTTTCCTGGTCCTCAGATATTAGTCTTACCAAATCAGTGTATTTAATACGGCAAAGATTCCCCACAAGTTAAAGACATAGAATTCATGCTCTAACATTCAGAGTTGTGTAAACAACTGTGCCCGGGAGTATTTTTTGACAGCTGATAAGCCATTTTTAAATTGTGTTTTTTGAATGAAAACAAAATCTAACTTAGCTGAGGCTAACAGTGTTATTTGATGTACAGCAGTATGTTTTACTGATGTGATACTGAGAAATGAGTTTTGGTGGGATTTGGTTTTCAATGAAATTCTAAACATAGTAAATGCACAGCTGAGAACTGTAACACTATTTTAAAACCGCCACTGCAGTTAACTAAAATTGATCTCTCTAACAAGTGCTAAAAATAGAAAGAAGAGAGCACACAACCACTTTTCGTATGGCTCCCTGCAGGCTCCTTAAATACGGGTGAATATGACCTTCACGCAAAGCTGTCCCAGAGTGTGGGACAATGAGTGATATTTCACATTCCACTGCTCTAGAACAGGAATTGATTTATTACCCAGCTAGCTAGGGAATTTGTTTACATGCTTCCATTTATAACACTGCTGCATCAAAGAAAAAAAAAAGGAGGTTTTTGTTTTTCTTTTATTCAGCAGTTTAGAAGCAAAGCATCGACTCTGGAAATAATAATATGCAATATAGTACGAAGTGTTACACCTGACAGCCTTTTT